AACAAGAAATCTGGAAAGAATATAGAAAGAAATATAGGTGATTTTTTTTCTTCTGTTTTGCTGTTGGTGGAGACAAGAATTTCAATTGCATTAATGTTTGTTTACATGCATTTTATTTCTTTATTTTTTTTAAATAAAACTTAAACTAGATTCTCAAACTTCATTATGAAAACATTATAAAGTCTTACTTCCTTTGTTACAAAAATGCATTTATCTCTTAAAGACTGGCTCTTAGAATAACTTCATGCCCTTCTTGGTCTGAAACCAAGACTCTAACAGACAGTTAAGACAGACATAAAGGGGTTGTGTAACTTGGGACTTATCCATGCTGTCAGCAAGGCTGTACTGGAAGATGGGACACATCTCATTCTTCAGAGGAGGAACAATTCCTCTTCATCAATAGGAAGAAATCTCCAGACTGCTCCACCACAGGTTGCTCCTTCAGTTTTAATCAAGCCAGGCCCATTAAAAAACAAAACTAAAGGATTTCCCACTAATTTAATCACTATTGCAATACCTTAATTAAACTATTATCTTGGAATTAGATCTAAATATTTAGCAATTCTTTCAGTTAATTTATTGCCTATCAGGGTCTGATGAAACTGAGGTCTAATTATGAACAAATCATGCTTTGTTTGGAAGGAAATGTGACGAAATGAAAGATGAATTGATACTGTTGCACAGCACCTTAGGTTACACAGTGAATCCCTGTAGCCTTTTTCTGGATAACCACCTTAGACCTCCAAATACGTGATCGCTGATAAATCTTTCAACACAATCTCCTCTGACACTGACAGCAAATGGGTCATTAAAGAAGGGGGAAAGCTGAAAAATAAAGGGTAGATGTGAGTGCTTGGTCCTCTTCTTCGGAGCTGCTGGCAGCACCTCGTTGGATTTCAGAGTGAGGTTTCCATGGAGCCTGAACAAAGACATCTGGACTGAGGAATGTGGTTCGGGAACGCTCTGGCGGACACGCTCGAGAGAGTGAAAGCGCGGGGCTCCTGATAAGACCTGGGACTGTGTGCGAGCTGCTTGGTATAAACTTCTTCCCAGAACTTCACTTGTTTCCATGGCATTAGGGATCATCAAACATCTCTCCAAATGAGGGGAATTACACGTCCCTTTATTTTCTATCAGGCCTGTTTAAGACTCTGTCTTTTGTTTCTGGTCTTAACGGCTTTTTAAAGATTTTATTTATGTATTTTTATTATTTGTAAATTCCCAGACCATAGTCATAGTTAATGTCATCTTAAGCTAAATAAATTAAAAAAAATGTTATTGTAATTACCACAAGCTCTACTCTCAGAGAGTTTGGATGATTATTTCAGCTCCAGAAAAAAACTGTTATAAGAAATGGAAGACAAAAATAAGCCTGTATCTTATCATGATTATATTTCCTTCCTCTGTAACGGACTTCCAAGCTGGGAATACAATACCTTGGAATACATATCCTTAAGTTAAGTTCCTCAACAGTCTTTAATGCAAAAAACACCACAAGAAAAAAAATATTTTTTCAGTTTCTTGTTATTAAGATCTGCAGATATAAAATCAAAAACTATGGCGAATGGCGTCGTCTCATGATTTCTCTGTGATTTGTGGCTTTAGGGAGAAATTAGGAGTTAGAACTGTGCATGTGGGGCAGCGCTCGTGGATAATGAATAACTTGAAGGGGGGGAAGGGTGTGTTTGGAGCAGCTGCACTAGACTAGTCATAATTACTCTCCTTAGAGTCTATTCAAACTATCTTTTTTGCCTTTTACACTTTCATATTTGCTTTGCAACACTGAGGAAAAGCTGAAGTCGTCTGTATTTGTTTTTTTTTTTTTTTTTCTTATGAATCTGGTGCTTTTTTTTGTTTTTGTGAAGTTCCAGCTCTCACTCACAACTGATTCCTTAATCAAATGTGTTTCTGTGCTACTTTTACTAACAGTTATTTCCATACCTTGAATCAATGAATCCCGCACAGACCTAGATAGAACAACTGTTATCCATCTGAATCTGGAGAAAGATAACAGGAAAATCTTGCAATGGCAACAATATTGGGAAATATTGAGATGATCATCTCAGATGTGATATCAGCCCATTTTCATGTTTCCTCTCTGTCCCCTTTGTGCTTCCATCACTCTTTGACTCTGAGAAATGTCCTTAGTCTCCAATGTGAGTATCTGTTGCCCAACTGGATACATATTACAATAGCATGTTAACCTCAAGCATGATGCGTCTCAAAATATCAAGCTTGTTTAATATGGTACGCCTGAAATATGAAAACAGGACATCTGGTATGGAAGAGTCACAAGGAGAAAGCAGCCCTGCATTGATGAGTGGTTAGATGATGGATGTAAATAATAATAAAAAAAAGAGCCACACAAACAAACTTTCAAGTGGTTAACTAGAAAATCCTTGCACCGGCACGAAAGACTTCAGTTCCACATTTCTCTGTTTCTCTGCAAACAGCAGCAAGAAGAACTAGGGTCAGAGTGCTGGAGCTCACCATAATAATAATACGTCATATTTCTGTTTGTGTAAAAGGCCTCAGGAGAAATATCTGTTGGACTGTCCTATTTTCTGGTGGAAGAGCTTAGCCTCTACCCAGCCCCAAAAAATGGAAGAAAACAATCTGTGATATTGTAAAATACCGAGTATACAGTAAAAATGCAGTTTCTGTGTATTGTTTTCCTTTCTTTGAAAGCTGTATCTGATTGTAGAATGGCAGACGGTGCCATAAATACCTCAGCAGGCTATATTTCAACACAATGTTTGGTCTTGCACCGTAATTTCTGCAGCGTTGAGCAACATGTTGACCTTTTCAGGTTTCTGACCACAGCGTCATGAGAATGCAATCTGAACGTGGTTACAGTGATGTTTGGTTTGAGGACGCTTTGATTTCACTTTTGACCCGAAGATGCTGCATCTCTCATGCTGCCCCCATCTCTGATTGACACGCGGCGTAATTACGAAGGCATCTTGGAGGTTTTAGTGACTCCAGAAACATTCAGCTCATCTAAACAACTCCATGGGGAAGACAATCCAATAAAAGACTTGAACTCTCACTGTTGGCCATTTTAAAACGATAACGTTCGAATGATGTATTATGCTTTGTCATCTGACGGGTCATTTACTGAAATCATGGGGCTTTTTAACAGCCAGCATTTAGCTATAATGACAGTTATTTTCAAAACTGTAGTTTGTGGCAACACAGGAACATTAAAGAAAACTGAACATGTAATTATTAGTTTTTTTTTGTGTTTATTTTTTTTCAAAAATGGAGAAACTTTATAGATTTTGACTAAAATTTGACTGCATGGTGTGGTTACATTTAGCTCAGTCAAATCGCTTGTTGGCTCATCCTAGTACAGCCTTTAAATGAAAATTTTCTCAAAACTGTTGTTAGAAAAACTATAAAAAACATTTGTATAACTTCCAAAGATCAAATCTATGCAAAAAAAAAAAAACGTTTTTTATTTACTTTTTGGCCTGGAGAAATGTTCTTCAAGAGACGGGATGGGCAGGCTTGATGCTGATTGGGCTAAAGTTGGAGGGTAGGTGGGCTGTTTCTACTCTCCTCATGGTTCTGGTTCTTCCTGTTGAAAGAAAGTTGTTTCTTTCCAGTGTTATCACATACTTTTCTAGGATATGCAATTACTGGGAACCCAGTGACTTGATGCACCCCAAGATAATATACCAGTTTTGCATCCAGACGGGCGACAGTGACGTCGGATGGAGGAGTTTGCCCTGCAACTGGAGGGTTACCTTTCAGTCTCGATGGTGGTCAGAAGGCCCGGTGGCGCCAGTGTAAGGCAGCCAAGATTCTTTCAGTGAGCCCCAAGGCAGCTTGGTCTACAATGTAGACTTTTTAATGACTTAAAAAAGCGCTATATAAGTACAGGCCATATATCATCCAAAACTTGGGGTTTGATTAGACTGCACCTGTGTAAATGATTGGATTGAATATTGTTTTCTGGATCGGTCTCGTACTACTCGGACAGTGCTGTAAGGTGGCCTTTATTGTAATTAACTTTTTTTTTTTTTGTATAAAAATAAACTGAACTAGATTTTATTTGGACTTTGTCGATTTAAGACTGTGTTATCCCTTTTTTTTCCTTTTAACCCCTTTCAAATCTTCAAAACCTTCTAGAGACATGCAGCAATTCTGTGGTTTTTGTTTACTTGCTCTGACACTTTTTATTAAATCTACTAAAAGTAAACATAAATTGAAATGCCTCTTTGAAGTTTTTTTTTTTTTAGATCTGTTACACCCTACTTCTTTTTGGCCGTTTTCCTGAAGCGTGTTTTACGTTTTTGCTTAGAGATGGTTAGCAGCTGTAAGCATGTAGAGCACAGCAAACTAAACATGCTATGCTGCCCTTTGTTATCTTCTGCTTTGGCTTTAAATGTTTGACCAAAGCTGTTCAGATAATGTGGAACAGACACAGTTCAAGGTTCGGTTTCTTGCTTTCAGGTTATCAGATGACAGAAAATCACATTTTTCTTTTTTCCAGTCAGTATGTCACATTTTCCACATGAGGATCCAGTAAAGCAGCAGCAGTTTGCAGGAAGTTGTGGACCTGCTGATCAGACCAGTAGTTGTTTTTAGAAGCAAACAAACCAGTGAAGTGGTTTGTTTTCCTACAGATTGAGCACTTCCCATTTATCAGGATGGCTTAAAGGTGGCTCGCAGGATTTTATATTCTACAGGGGTCCACACAAGTCAATGTCTTTCACTAATGTGACAGAATGTTGGGAATCTGCACTTTTAAAATCTGCTTTCAAATCAATAAAATTTATCAGATGTGTTTAGAAGTTGTGGGTCTCAGCTTGGTATGAAAAACTGAGTCATGATCTGATTTCCAGTCCCAGTTTGATCCAAAGTGAACTCAACATGTTGAAAACAACTTGAAAGCAAAAGGTTTTTTTTTCTTTACTTCAAAATGAGAACCATTTGTCCTCTCTTTACACTTAAAATATTTCCTCAGATGTTTTTGTTCTCTTTCTTTCCTGCAGGGAGGAAGTTCATGAGAACTGTGTCCGCTGGAGGAAGAGGTTCACCTTTGTGTCAAAAATGAGCGCCAACCCCCACACCGGAGTCCTGGATCCATCCGTCTGCAGGGTGTCCGTCAGGAAGGTACGACTCCTGAAGCGTGATCTCTCACAGGCTGACTTTCTTTTTCTCTCTAAAGCAGGTGTCATTACTCACCGGCTGTTTTTCCCCATCTGTTTGAAAAAGGATTTAGGATTTATAAGCAGCTAGTCAAAGCATGCAGGCCACATGCATATATATGTGTGTGCATTTACTTAAAATATGACTGGTGTTTGAATACTATCTGTGAACTACAGGAATGAAATCCCATGCAGTTTCAAAAAGTTTGGAGTTTGGATTGTTTTTCCAGAAATGCTTGATATTTTCATTTTTCCCTATAACTCATGTCCCTCCCTTTTTTAGGATTCGTATTCTTTTCTTATTTACTTGATCAATTACTGATTAACTGACCTAATCTTCAGATTGCCTTCTTATTGTAACCTTCTTTTCCCTAGCGTTCCTTAGCATTCTCCTCCTCATTTAGTTCCTGTCTGCAAATATTGGGAGTTTTTGTCCTACGTTTGGTGTGAAATATCAAAATATTGTCTTCCAGTTTAGAAGAAACAGATCTGGAGCTATTTTCTTTGCAGATACTTAAGTGCAGATGCTAAATCTTTCAACCTGTTCATTAAACTCCACAGCAGGTGGTGTGTGTGTGTGTGTGTGTGTGTGTGTGTGTGTGTGTGTGTGTGTGTGTGTGTGTGTGTGTGTGTGTGTGTGTGTGTGGTCTCAGCTTTTCTTTTGATTTGAGGTCTGTAATTGGAGGCCACCTTAATCAAAAGTGAATCACTGGGTTCATTATAGTCTTTCCTGTTCTCCCTGCAGGAACTGAAAGGAGGAAAAGCGTACACGAAGGTAAGAGCTTATGTCTGCCTCTTGCTTCTATAAACACATAGAAACAGTTACAGATGACTGTGTGTCAGTTTCTGTAAGCCGTAATGCCCTGTCCTGTAAATATTAGCATTTCTGGCTTCGCTTTGACAAGTAAATCCTCCATCTGGGTGCAAACATGAATCATAACCCAACCCCTTTGTGCCCACTTGTGCCTGGATGCTGGAGGGGGAAACATTCTGGCAGCAACTCTCCGACCGTATCGGCTCTTAACGGATGAGTCACATTTCTTCAGCGCAGCCAAGTCAAACCCCTCGTGAACCCAAACCCACTGTTTTCTTTATAACCGGACAATGTTGCATGACAGGAACTGCTTCCTCTGTTTTTACCTATTCTCTTTTTAGATTTCCTCTAGTTAAATTTACTCCACTTCCCTCCTTAGAGGTTGGCTTCCTTAAACATGCACCTATGAAAACAGAAGCTCCCCTACAGAAAGGAAAACCTGGGGAATGAAGAATGGGAACGTTCCACTTGATTAGGAATAACATCACGTACAGCTTGTATAATGGGCCGATTCCACCCAGTAGAAGGGTTAAAGTTGAGTAGAGGGGGGGTGTTTGAGGGTCTTATCTGAGTTATTTGTGGCAGCGCTGGAATTTAGAAACTCCTGACCTACACTTCAGAGGTCAGAAGTTTTAAACTTTGCACCAAGCGTCTCATTCTTAGATCGTTAATCAGGCTGTATATATAGAAAGAGCATAGTTACCAATGTAATGTCCAGGGTTATATGAGGAACAAAACAAATTGGTCAACATAGTTTTACATTTACAGTAAAGCTAATGGAATAATATTAAATGAAAATATAAAAATAATAGTTCAAAGAAGATTCTTCTGTTCAATAGGAATTAAAGGCAGTCTTTATTTTAAATTTCAAGTATTGGCCATCCTTGGAGAGAGTGGAAAGTCCTTACAATGTTTGGTAGCAGCAACAGACGGAGCTCTTAAATATCAATAAGCTCCGGGTTACCGGACCTCAGAGTTCTGCTGGGAACAGAGCTGAGAGGTAGGAGGTGCCTGACTGTAAAATAATTTTGAAACCAAAAGTAAAGTCTGATAAATGATCAGAAAATGTGCAGGCAACTGGTAAAGGGAGGAAAATCTGGGAGTTTTGTTTTTGCGTCTGTTACTGACTGGCTGCAGCGTTTTGGAACAGCTGCAGATGATGAGGAGGCGGGTTGTTCATCCCAGAGCGACAGAGATGTAGTTCAGTACATCAACAGACTAGTTATTACTTCTGAACTCTTTGCAGGTCGGTCAAGCTTATCCAGGTCAGCCTCTCTCATCCACGATTTTTGCTTTATTCACTAGTACACAGTCATGCTGAAAGGGGAAGGGTTTATTTAATAGCTGGTAGCATAGAAACCTTCATCTGGTCTGCCTAAGCATTCAGAGTTCCAGAGAACGTCGACATCACAGCACCCAATTCTTTTATTCAGCTCTGTGATGTACCTGCTTAGCCATGTAAATCTAGCATGTGTAGTCACAAGTCGTACATATGCTTTCTAAATGTTCAACTTGTTCCTCAAAGGCTTTAAGCCCTGAAGTGGGCTAAGAGTTTGCAGCTTGGGAGCACTCTCCAACCTTATTTCTGACTTTAATAAGAACATGAATCCATTTTAAGTAAAGAAATCTGATCGAAATTCATTATTTTTCCAGTTAGATTCGAGACTCAAGTCATTTTTCTGATATATTTTCCTAACGAGTCTAGTCATCAAATCTTTTACTCAAGTTTGACAAGAATCAAGTCCAAGTCCACACCTGCTATGAGGTAGATGAGGCTTGATTTGATATGCAGATCCGATGTTAGAGGCTGGACAATCGTGAATTAAAACAACCAAAACAATCATGGACAGAATATGGAGCAGGTTTGGTGTGGGTGGAGCTTGGACCATAGTTTACTGCTCTAGAGTGACCAGAAGTGTTATCATATAGAGTATATAGTAATGGCTCATCAGATCCAGTCATTCTGGAAATTAAAGAAGCTCCAGATTTAAGAAAGAAAAACAAAAATAATGTTAAAAATAAACCGGTGCTATATCTACAAAGACTGCCGTGTGGTTTTTGCTCCCTGTCATAAACTAAAACTTGAAACGTTGCTGTTAAAGTGAGGTTACTCAGCTTGCTAAACACTGGGTGTCACAGGATTCTTAGTTTTTCTCAGCATGTGCCTGAAATAGATGCAGCTCAAAGCCTCCATTAGTGAATCTGCAATTAACTAAGTTCAAACTCCTCTTCTCTCCCCTCAGCTGGGCTTCACAGACCTCAACATGGCCGAGTTTGCCGGTTCTGGCTCTACGGTTCGCTGCTGTCTGCTGGAAGGATACGACACCAAGAACACACGGCAGGACAACTCCATACTGAAGGCAAGGAGACGACTGAGGCTGTATAAAACATTATAAATGACAGAAGAGTTCAGGCTGGGTTTCTGGTTAAACTTTAGAATAGGCTCAAATGTTAATGTGTTTTTTTTAGATATCTGACAAAAATGTTTGAATGAGTTTGAATCAATGCAAATAAATATTTAAAAGTGGTGGTGTATGCATTACCTCTTATTATCCTCCTTTAGCTGCAAGTAGGGACGAATATCTCTGGAAATTTCTCCACCCGCCTCTTTTTGCAAGACGTTTTTAGTCGATCGTTTTTTTGCTAAACAAACACCGGTTAGTTAAGACTCAGCCTGTTGGTTTAAGTGTAAGGAAGGTTACTTAAAAAAAGTAACGGGTCTTGTTTACAAAAATTTAGTTATTAGTTCAGTCACTGTACTATTAGAATAACTGCTTTTTCAAAAAAGAATTCATAATTTAATAATTTCCTTATCATAACTTTAAATATAACATTTATTTAAATTATAGAATATAAAATACTAAATATTGGTTCATTAATGAAATGGACTAATGCACTTATCTTCACCATTTTCCTTTTAGGGACAATTATACATATATATCAAGATATATGTGTAGAGTTTATAATCTAAGAATAAAAAAATATATATTTTAGAACTTGATATTTATGTGCAATAATAAGCTACATCTGTCTATGAAATATGTATAATACTATAAAGCAACACAACAAAAAATAAATGCACATTGTAGTAGCATTAGACAGGGAACTCCACTCCAAACAGCAGTGAAGTAGACTGTACTTCCAGTATTTCTGTTTATCAAAATAAACAGTAGCAGTACACCATGCAAGTTCATTAACTTACAGTAAATTACAGTAAAGAAGTAAAGTGCAATGTGTTTGAAACCATCGGTCGTGGAAGGGTGAGATGATCAGTCATGGAACAAGAGTTTGTTTCTGACATGATGTGCAAATCCAGGAACATTTTGTCTTTGACATGAGATACATCTAAAAGCTATTTATTCTATATTGTTGTAATAATTGTTGAACCAGTGCAATGGGCCTGCTTCTCCACTTCTGCCACACCTCAGTGGGTCTAATGGGCAATTCCTGCAGGCTCTACCAGTTCAGCTTTATTCTTTCTGTCACTGGAATAACATCTACAAATTTAAAACCGCACTATTTTGACTTTTGTTCTTCTAAGAAAAATTTTATTTCAGTGGAGAGTATAAACCTTGCATAATCGAATCTCATCAAATATGTTAACACGTTAAAAACAGACTCGATGAGGTCAGGATAAATCTATCGGAATGGGAAAAGTGATATTTCTTCATCTGAGCTGTTGTGTTTAAAGAGACTTTTCTGTTTCACGTCTTACAGGTGATCATCGGAATGACTCTTCTTTCTGGAGATCCCTGTTTCAAAACGTAAGCTCAACATGAATTCAGTTTTTTTCTTTTTTTTTCTCCCTGTGTCTGTGACTTGTTAAAATGCTTTGGTTTGAATGATGAAACCATGCTACTTGTGTTAAAGAAGATACTTATATATTCTTTTGGAGAGTCCAGAAGGATCCACAGCAGCTTCATCTAGAGGTGAAGGCATGAAGGTGATCTGGCCTGTACTTTTGTCACGCCCGAAATTGACATACAGACCAGCCCACTGGTTCACTGGACCAAGAGCATGAATAGAGGAAGATGTAGGACACAAGTTTAGCTGTTTAGCCTACAGTTGGGTTTATTTCTACAAGAATTACAAAGCAGGCAGTTTCTCTATTGAAAATGAGTCAGAACCACGGTCGGTAATGCAGTGTTCCAGGCTGCACAGAGTAAGGGGAAATCTTTCACAGTCTTCCTGACTCGACAGGCAGGGATTATTTTTGTGTATCAGAAGATCCCTGCAAAGTTTGATGCTCGGCTGTTCATTTGCTCTAAGCATTTTACCCAAGACTAAACTTATTTTTCCTGAACTGAGGGGCTGTTCTGGCCGTAAGGCCACCACAACCAAAAGCTGTTAGTATTAGTTTGTCGCTAAGCTGTTGATAGCAATACTAGTATATCTATGGTGACCAGATTTGGGTTCTTGAAAAGGAGGACACATTTTATTTATTTTTTTTTTTGTGGCGGTATGATGTGTCGACTGCTGGGCCGCTGACTGGACGGGACCTCAGCAGAGAGCCATGAGCCTGCCCCTCCTCAACCGATGTTACACACCCTATTCATAGACCTTAAGGACCAGCACCACATACCCTATAGAATCATTCTCTGAGCCCTTTGAAGGAGCAGAAACTGTTCCTGGTTAAAGCTCTGGTCCTTTTTATTCGGTTTAGGCGGTATCAATGCTCATCTTTTCACAAAAAAATACATCCAGTCTTTCTGATATTTCTTCTGTAGGGTTTGATTTTTCAGGTTCTTGTGTGAGAAGATTAAAACCTTGAAATATTTTCTTTGTAAACTTAAAGTATTTGTTGAAACAATGACTCATTTTTTCCTTCAGTCGGTGAAGACAGTCTTATCGTGTGGGGCACCGCTAAGCACTGCAGCACTTTCTGCTCCCTTTAATCTCTTCCAGACTGATAAAACCGTTTTGCATCATTTATTTTATTTTGCTTTTTTATTTCCCCCATTGCTGCAGCCCTCCAAGTACAGCAAAGTCCATCTCTGTCCCAGGACGGGAACACACCCTGCAGCTGGACTGTAAGGGGGAGGGAACAGCTGAGGGAAGCGGGCCAGCCGGAGGCGTCTCTCTGGGCCGGGCCTCCAAGCCTCGGCCCTCCATCATCAGTTCGGGTGGGTTTCACACTTCAGAGTGTCACGTTTCTCTAAATACTATAAACTTATGCTGCTGTACTCTGCTCCGAGATCAAGTTAGGTTTCAGATCAAGCTCCCAGTTTGTGAAATGCTCGGTTTAGGCAGAGTTTGGGCCTTTGGTGTTTGACCAGGAAGGTTAGGCTATGCAGGAGAAAAGGCCTTTTAACATCCTCTGTGTTTTCTGTTAGCATTATTTTCAGCTCTCTAAACTTTACCAATTTGTTTTGACTTTTTTTTAAATTAATTTAACCTTAAAATAAGTCTAAACCAGAGGTTTTGCTAAGTACTTGGATCCAACTTTTAGCTTAGGTTTCTTGGGTTTAATGTAGTTTTGATTTTAATAAAGCTTCTTTTTGATTAGGATTCATAAAAATGTTCTATGCTTTTAAACCAGACTCAATTTCAGGTGGACAAACATTTTTGTGGGTTAATTAGGTGGGCCAGGTCTATAAAAATACCTTTTAGAGTGAACATGAATTTGGATGCAATCATCAAACTTACAAACTTTCCCCAAAGGATTTTAAATCTGAAAACGCTGCAAAAATTTCACGAAACCTTATAAAATTTGTCTATTCTCAATGGATTTAAAAACAAAAACTTTTTAGTTTTGAAAAGGAAAAAAAAGGAAACAGTTTCAGTTTAAAACCGTAGAATTGCTCGATATTTTATTGTGAACTTGGTGGAGTCGACGATTGGTCAGTTAGAACCGAACAGAGACATTTTACTCTGGATCCCTGAATTACAGCTCATCTAGTTCTGCTTCCTTCTGCCGCTAACATAAACGAAATGATTGACTGGAGGCTAATCTGTGTGAAATGTTTTGACTCATTCTTCCCGCCTACGAGGAGCTGACTGATCTGTTTTCTTTCTCTGCTGTCTTCAGGTCTCCTTGACGACTCTGAGATGTATCAGAACCAGTCTGGTCCGGCAGAGGCTTTCCAGTCCGGCCATTCGCGGAACTCCAGCTACGCCAGCCAGCAGAGCAAAATCTCAGGTAGGAAATTCACCAGCAGGTCTGATGGTCAATTCTTAAATTCTGAGAAGTCGCTCAGAATTTATTGGAACTTCGTTTAAATATTTAGATATCAGGGGTTCCTGTGCAGCTGGAAAAAAGATGGAAATGTATAGAAAGTGTGGTTATTTTTAAACGGCGCTCTACATTTGGATTTCTCTAATCTTTCTCCACAAACATCAGGCTAAATAAAAGTCATCATCAGAGGCCAAACATGCTGTTTTTACGTTTTCTTGTTTTGATTTCCTCTTTTGTCCCTCAGGCTACAGCACAGAGCACTCCTGCTCCTCCAGCCTGTCGGACCTCACGCATCGCAGGAATACCTCCACAGGAAGCAGCGCCTCTGGAGGACTGTGCTTCTCCACTGACACGCCACCAGAGAGCGACAAGGACGCCGGACGTCCAGAGAGACCTCCACGACCCCCTCGACCTGTGCTGCCCCCAAACCGACCCCTCAGGTACAGATAGAGGGAAAATACTTCCATCCAACCTGGAGTTACAGATTTCTGTTGCTACTTTCACCAATCGTTTTCCCGTGTTTCAGGAGGAAGCAGGACTCGGTGGAGAGTCACCCCACCTGGGTAAACGACACCCGTATTGATGCCGACGACATTGTGGAGAAAATTGTCCAGAGCCAAAACTTTGCAGATGTCAACAACACTGAAGGTAGAGTGAGAGGGGCCTCCCAGCGGTCTCTGCAGGGGAAGCTTCGTGTTGGTGTGTTTGAGGAGGTGCAGCCACTGATTGCAGCACAGCTTAGTTTTTGCACTGGAACCGCTGAAGGGTTGGAGTTTGTACCAAATGTCACAACTATGATGAAACTCCAAGTTTGGACCCCAGAGCTCAAACAAAAGACGTCCTGATGCAGCTTGAGCCGACCTGGTCCGGCTCGTTTGTTCACCCCTTTAACGGTGGAAACTCTCGAAGCTGAGCTGGAATGTGCACCTGGTCACTGCAGTGATCATTAGACCCTCAGGAATAACAAGCAACATTTTTATCTCTGTAAAAAGCCTTAAGATCAGTTGGACTTTAACCTTTCAAAAGATTTTTCTTCCTTTTTCAAATGGTTTCAAATAGAGTATAGACTCTGCGAGCACGCAGCTTAAATACGGGTCAATTGGATCAGAAGAGTACTTGTGACGTCACCACATGCTAGGCTAGTCTAGAGCTGCATTACACCTCCTGTTATTAATTGTCTTTAGATAATGATAAATTCTTACTTTTTTCTTTTAGTGGTGGAATAATGATGGACACAAATCAAATAAAAATTTTGCCAAATAAACCAAAACACTCGCCATCAGAGCCAGCGGTCCTTCACGCCGAGAGAGGGCTGCCGCAGACGGGCTATGTTTAGACCAGGCCGCCGTTACCCTCGGAGGTCCACTGGTTGCTGCAGTCCTTTCAACTTCGGATTAAAAAAAAATATATATATATTTTTTTATGCATCAAATCAGTAAATGGGCCATATAGTGACGTTTAAAAGTATAATGTTCTCGCCTCAAATGATCTTAAAACTTACTTTTATTGAACAGCAGCAACGGAAAAGAGAATTTTTAACTTAATATTCTGAGCTCTGTGAGGGCTAACCTGGAAGCTGCTGCCGCCGCAGTGCATGCTGAGACAGCTGTCAATCTCAAGAACGGACAAGTCTGCTCTGATGCATACTCTGTAAATAGGGAGGGGCAGGAACAACATCCGGGGACTTTTTCCGTTCACTGTTCTTGTGAATTGGAACAGTACTAGGGCCGAGGCTGAGGAAATTTCATGAGCACGGGAGAACGCACAAGTATACATATTGAGAAACAGCCTCTCTGTTTGACTACATTCTGGACTTTGACTAGGCCATTTTAACACAGGGGTATTCTGTGCAGCATTCTGTCCCAGCTCTGGGTGTATGTCCACAGTGTGTCCCTGCTGAAAGGGGCATCCCCACCCAGATACTTGCAGCGGTTTGCTGTGTTTATTGTAGCCAGATATAACAGCATCCATCAGAAAATGAAAGCTCCAGCAGATTATTCAGCTGAATATTGCGGTAGTTGTAGCTCTGTTGACATTCTCTGCTGTGTTTTTGCTTTTCAGACAGTAACCTGCGACTGTTCGTCAGCAGAGATGGAACCACAGCGCTCAGCGCCATCCGGCTGGGAAACAGGTGAGACCGTCTGTGGACCCTCTTCTCTGCATCCATCCTGATTCATCTTCTTGCTTTTAAACTGTTGGTCAGAAAGCAGAAGTTGATCCAGTGGAGAATAAAACCTTATTTGAAATTGTTCTGCTGTCTAATCTCTGGAGGTGTATGCCTTATGACCAGTACCTTTCTTTAACTACTTCTGCAACATGAATAATTTTCTTTCAGTTCATGACTTCTGGCTCTTTATTTCCTGACAATTTGAAATCAGTTCCAGCTATTATATAATTATCATGTACCCGATGTTTGAGCTTACTGCAGTTAATCTCTGAAGCTTTAATTCTCCGTGAGCTGGAAACAAGTTTTCTCCAAAGTCTGGATAAGAACTCTGATGGACTGAAAAAAAAAATCACAGACCTGGAATAGGTGATGTTAGAAACATAATGTGCAGAATCATTTGATGGGAATTTTAGATTTTATATTTTTAGCAAGAAATCTGAACAGAAATCAAACAGGAGGAACCTAGGACCTACAGAGGATTCGGGAGCAGATCCTGGTCCTTCTAAAAGGTTAAAGACCTCCAACCTCTGTAGGGTCCAGCTATTGCCCCATGTTCCCAACACACCCTGATCTAATGACAACTACTGAGACACAGGAAAAAGATAAATACGAGCAGAAAAGAACGGCTTCTGGCCTCCGCCTGAAAAACTATTCCTGTTTTTATTTCTGCTCGTCTTTGTTCCCCCTGTAGGACCTACAGCTAATTTGATTTACACCAAAACGTCTGACTGACGATTCCTCTGCTACTTAACTGACCAGGTCACCATTTATTACACGACTTTACCAGACTTTATATTATCATACTTGATTTAGTTAAGGTTTGAATGTGTTTCCTGAATTTTAGATAAGCTTCATCCATCTGTTTGTCTGGATATAACAAATTCCTTTTTCCTTTTTGGATTTAAAATCCCAGTTTCTGTTTTCTGTAATGGTTTGCTCCTGCTTTCATCAGCCTCCTGATGAACAAGCAGAACTTGAAGAGTTTGACCGGATGCGTCACCCTGTCTTAGACGTTTTTTTGTCTCCTTTCAGGGTTTCTGCCGGCGGCTATGAGCCGGTGGTGATAGAGAGCCATTAGACCAGCCGCCTGCTCACCTTCTGCCTCTGGTTTTACTGGAGCTTCAGCTGGTCTGACGCCATGAGAGGGAAAAACCACGTCTGTTTGCACTTTATGTCCAGTTCGTTTGCAGTGTCTGTCTGCACTGTCATAGCTGCCTCTTTGTGATGTTGAAGGGAAGATGCTCCCTGCTTTGTGTGAATGAAGAAGTTCAGAAGTGTCTGATGCATCATTTTGTCTCCAGCTTTTTGACAGAACTGAGGTGAAACCTGTTCTGAAAGAAAATAAAAAGGTTAAAAAAAAAAAGGTCAGGAGAGGAAGATTTAATTAGATGTTCTACATTTTGACATTTATATTAGATAAAACATCCTCTCACCATATCAGCTCATTTTGATTACACGTTTCTCACTGTGTGCAGCTTTTTCTTTTCTGTTTTGTTTTGTTGTGTGTCACCCATTCATGATGGACGTCAGAGCTCTGACTGCCTCTTCTTTCAGTGAGTCTGACTGTTCAGCTTCTGCACCATTTCCTATTCTTCTGGCGCTTTCTGCACACTTTGTTTTGTAAACCTCATTGCCTTTTCTGCAACCTTAAAGATATCACTCTTATTTTCCTAATTTGAATCATTTCCATTCGAGCTGAAATGACCAGAGACTCCCTGTGGATGACATGTCTGTTAATCTGTCTGAATAGAAGCAATAGATCTAAAGGAAACCTTCAGATAATAGATAACAGGCTTGATTTATCTGTTAAAATGTCAAATTCACTATAAGCTTTTAATTTTTATTCCACTCTCTGATCTGAATCTGTACCTTTTTTCTTGTCAGGATTTATTTTTTTTTTTCATAAAGAAGCAGAATTTTCAGTTTGTCTAAAAGTCTGACTTTGCTGCCCAGACGGATCATTGTTTGTGACGTTTCTCTGAAATCTGTGCTGCATGTAAATGGGTGCAGAATCTGTAATCCTGCTGGTTAGGGATCCAAACACAAAACAGGAATCGACAACAATAGAAAGATTTGAAGAGTTTAAACTCCTTGATCAAACACTAAAAGTAAGAGAGGTTTAATGATGAACATTGATATTTTCCTCCCTGTTGATCGGGGCAATCTGTGCCTTTAAGTTTCTCTCTAATGAGCCGAAAGCACCATGAAAACTGTGGTTGGAGTGCTTGTGTCGGTGAGGAGAGATGTTAGTTTAGCTCCGTTTTTCCCACTCGCTGCGTGTTTGAACACTAAGCTGCTGCCTTGTTGCTTCAGTTCCATGAAGGATTAATCGGAACAAATCAGTTCTGCTCGGCTTAAAACGCACGATGACCATCAGTTCAACTGAACAAACTGTTCGGCTCTTTATTGGAACCAGCTGCAGAAAACTTCACATCTGGAAGAGGGTCTGTTGAGCTCTTTGTTGCCCCCTGGTGGAGCGACATTGTTCCTGTGATGTTTACTGGAGCTGGACTGCTAATAATGAACAAACTGGACTGAAACAGGAACAAAAAATACCACATCAGAATCCAAATTGAAAGGAAGTGATCTTTTTCAGAACCAGCTGGCTGGTTTTGTTTTTTTGCTTTTCTTGCTAGATTTCCAAGCATGTTTTTAGTTAATCTTTTATCTGCTGAACTTGGGAGCAAAGAATCGCCTTATTTAGTTTGGAGTTAGTTTGAATAAAAATCCACTTTTGCTGATTGTGGACAGAGAAATAAAGGATCTTTTGGTGAAGCGTCGTTTCAAACACCCATCAGCCAAATTCTTGGTTCAGAGAATATTTGTTAAAAATGCCTGAAATGCTTTTTAACCACTAAAGTCCTCCACCCTTTAGGTCTAGTTTCTAAAGGGGAGATTTATCTACAATTCCTTATTTGGAATATTTTATTTTTTTCTAACTGCAGGATAAAAACACTGCTTTGGTGTTAGAATAAAGATTTTTATCTGAAAACAGTTTTATTGCGTTAACGTCAGAAACGACGTCACAGGAAAAACTGTATTTGAACCGTTTTTCTTTCCTGAATGATCCAGTTTTTCATCCTCTTCATCGTGGCTCATTTTAAGCCGTTTAGTCTCTCCCGCATCGTGTTGCGGCTCTATGTCCTTTTTCTCATGTTTGGGGTGAACCACTGACAATTTAGTCCCAATTTGGGTTTACATCATCACCTCATTTTTAATTTCTTTTAAATCTTTATTTAAATATTTTAGTTTCTCTTATGGAGGTGGTTATAAGCTATGCACACACCTCACCTCCCTCAGCTTATTTTTTTTTTTCTTTTCAGTGATTCTAAGAAGGATTTTATTATAACTAAGATAGTTTGAGCTATATTCTATATAGAAAACAAAGTTGGAGATAAACTTCCAGTCTCCACTTTTGTGTTTTTTCTTTTTTTTCTTTCTCTTTAGTAAACATTTGTGCAGAAATGACTTATGAACAATAAAAATGTTAATCAATGTTTGTCTAATTAGTTTTTTTCCCTTTGGGGGTGGGTGGGGGATCTGAGTGATTTGTACTGAGCTGTAATATCTGAAGGGGATATAAATATTACTTTTGTGATTTAATTCGGCATCAGACGAAGGTGACAATGAATAAGTTTGGCAGCAAAATAATTATGATAGACATGAGGACTGTTTCTAAAGAGTTGAACCATTTGGAAAAAGATGTAATCTATACCGATAAAGCTGCAGTAAAACAAAATTGGTTTTGTACTTTGGAGATAGTTTGCGTGTGTTAAATTAAGCAATAGAAATGAGTGCTTATAGGAAGCCACCAACAGAGGGCGCTGGAAGCAAGGTAATGTATTCCACTAGTTGCATGCATTCTTTCAACATCAGTGCTGATTTCATGTTCTTTATAACTCTTTAGTAGCGGAATACAGATATGAAAGCTGGACTAATATCCAACTTTTATTAGATAATAAAGTTGCAGGATTTTTTTCCCCCACAATTTTAGAACAAACCTTGCGTTGTATTTCATTACAGATGTGTAAAGACTTATGGTTTCAGACAGAATATCAACTGAAAATTTAGTGGAATAAGTTCTATCCACTAGAAAGCTGTGTTTGTGTCCATTTTAAGAACAGAATTAAAACACAGGTTTATTCCTTTATTGTTCCAAGTGAAATATTTCAGATAATCTAGAAAAAAGATTTATCAAACAAAGATTGTCCTATAAAATAAACAAAATGTTTTGAATTTGTGATTTTATTTGAAGGCTTTTTGCTGCTAAGTTTATTTTGATTAGCTATATTCTCTAAATAAGTGAAAACCTAAGTATAACCAGTCTAATAATGTGAAGAATGGCAAACTGGTGTTTCTGTCTAAAGACACTAGAGAATGTTAAACCCCCAAAAAACTCTTAAGGCTAAAACATACGTTGAAAGAGATTAACTTTTCTTCTGATTCGTCCCAAAACGGTAGATTTTCTCTAATTCAAAGCAGAACCTTTATTGTTGCTGGATGACTAAAGCTCTACAGGCCTCAGATGCAGCAGTTCATGTTTCAAAAATAAAATGAAGTGGTTATACAAAAAAAGAAAAATATGGGAGATTTCCAAGATCAGAACCTCTGCTGACTTGAAACAAAGGCCTGCTCAGTTTTACCAAGAAACTCCTGGAGGAACGGTCTGAACTGATGAGACAAAAGTGGGGCTTTTTAGATGTTTTATTACATCTGATGTTGAATGGTCTATAAAGCAACACCAATGTTAAAACACAATGGTGGCACAGTCCTATTGCTTCAGGTTGGCCATAATTTGTGGAAGCATGAATTTTCTGATCTGTCTGCTCATCAGGTTGGGATTCAAAGCTGAAGCCCATTTTGGCTACCTATACCTTACAGCCAGGTGAGTCACCTTATCACAGGCAGAGGCGCACCTTGTCAACAGGCAAACCAAGCAACTGCTTGGAGCCCCGAGCCGCTGGGGGGCCCCCGAGAGCCAGCTACTGTACACCCGGTAGATAAACAGCAACAGGCGAGCATGAAGTGGCAACGCTATAGTGACTGAGGAGATGCACAACTGCATTTAAAAATTCTGATTGGATGGAACGTTGATTGACGTTGGCTTTGCCCAGTCAAAATCCAGCCTTGCCCAGCCCAGGTGGATGACTTCCCTTGAAGGTACACTATGCAACTGGTGTTGATTTTCCAGCGAGGCTCCCCCCAGAGGGCGAAAGTAAAAGTGCACTGTCGTAAATATGCACAGCTGTTCTCCTGGTTTCTCCGTCAAGCCAGGCGCGGTTGTTTTGAGCTTAGCAGACAGGCGAACGCAACGAATGACTAATGCTGCGTTCACACCGCAGCTGGCGCGACAGAAGCAGCGAGTTTACATGCAATGTAACGTCAAGGCGCAGCAAAAGGTCCCGCGGCGCATTTTGAGCAGCAGGCGCAGCACGTCTGAGCAGCTGAAGCAGCGCATCGGGCGCGTTTAAGCATCTGACGCAGGGAGAGAGACACAGCGCTGATGATCACTCCTCTTAAACAGTTTATTGACGCCTAAATTAACTTAAAATGCAGAAATCTGCCGGCAGAATATGCAGTTTGGATTATTTAGATGAAAAACACCTACCAGCTGTCTTGGTGAACCGCGAGGAGGCGACCAGGCCAGAGGCTGCTGATGAAGGGATTCCTACTGTCCGCGCACCGCTGGTATGTGGGGGTCTGAGCGGCTCCGACAGAAAAAATATTAAAGGCAGGATAATAATCTGAATGAACTGACGGCACTGATTACGTTTTCAGGTGTATTTTCTCACTTAAACACATATTAAAACTACTTTATTCCCACTGATCACAGCAAATATAGCTGCAAGGCAGAGAAAGGATAGTGAAGCTCCGCCCAACGAGCGTCAGACACACTTTTGCACCGCGCAGCCAGAGCAGCAAAGCTGCTTCAGCCGCGCGTCAGAACTAACTGGTACAAGCAGCAAAAATGAAGCAGCAGACCCGATTTTGCTGCGTCCGATGTGAACGTAGCATAACTGCACAAAGATTTTCACTGTGCTAGCAACGAGAATGCTTTTAACTGGGGGCATGTAGCAGTTCTCGCCGTAAAGCAAGACTGACTCTCACGAGACTTCTGAGCCTGTGGGTGCGGGTCGGTGCTCCTGCAGTTGCAAGTGCGGTATTTCCCCCACAGACCACCAGGGCGGCCGAGAATACCTTTGTTCAACCTGAAATGAATCATTTAATCATCCATAACGTTATGGAACACATTAATTAACTGAAAAATGTTGCATAGTGTGCCTTTAATGAAAATGAACGTAGCCTAGCGAATGGGTGACGTTGTAGGCCTATCGTTCAGTAAATTGGAAAGCAATTATGTAACTAAGCTGAAGGAAAATTATTAATTTTCCATGTCTCAAGAGAGACTTTCAGGACTGGCGTTTATTTCTATAGAGTATAGCGTGCGAAGGTCTTTGGATCTGGAGGACTTAGGCCCCGTCCACACGAAGTCAAAACGAACACGAAACGCTAATATTTTCCAGAACGTTTGTCGTAAAGACGGAGACGTAAAATAAATGTGATCGTCCACACGGATGCATGAAAACGCTGCAAAATGTATCCCAGGCCTGTAAGTGTTTCCAAAGCAAAAATAGGCGACGAAATGTTGGGCATGCGCACTAATATTTACACATGGTTGCCCTGCGGGTCCATTTTCGTGGTTCAGTCAAATTCAGGTGCTGAACTATGTCGTCGATATTGCTCTGTTCTTCCTGGAGATATTCCAGAAGAAGAAGATTCTGTTGTAAGCCCGACAGCAGGGTGAGCATTAGCAGCAACCATTCAACACAGTACGGCGCCATTGTGCTTGTGATACTGTGTCGCGCATGCGTGTTTAGAGGCGATGCTATGACGCATGCGTGTAAAAAAAAAAAGCGGTTAGAGCTTAAAGATGGAAACGCGAAAATGGCGTTTCAAAATCTTTCCACTCTGAAGGCTTAATAAAAAAAAAGATCGTTTACAGACCCCCGAAACGCCGGCTTCGTATGGATGAGAGGCTGGTTTGGTGAAAAATTTGTGCGTTTAGGCCAGGGTTTGACTTCGTGTGGATGCGGCCTCAGTGTCTGAATTTGCACAAGCCAAGGCCCGTAAGCAGCAATTCTGGAAGCAGTATAGGACCCCAATAATTTCACTACACTTACTATACTTTATATTTTGTACAAAGTTTATATTGGGTTTTTAAAGTAATTTACTGTTTTTTTTTATTTTACTATACATTTATTTTAATTTATTAGTTTATTTTTTACTTTTATTCTTTTATATTTTCCAAAATAACAAGGTTGTTCATGTTTAGAACATTTGGAATAAAAAAAGGTTTTATTTAATACATTTTTCATTGGTGTCAGATTATTTATAACCTAACATAACGGTGATGAACACTGGTCAGTAGGGCCCCCTAGGATTTTTTGCTTGGGGCCCCCACAGACTCTAGAATCGCCTCTGATCACAGGCCAGGCTTAAACCAGACAGGAGCTGTACTGCACTGACATGATCTACAACAAGCAGAACATGCTCCTAAACTCTCTAATGTGGCTGGATCAAAACTATTCTGCAAAGACTGATTCAGTCAAAGAATGTCTCTACAGCGTTGTTAGAAACACAATGCCAATGAAAAACATCAAGCCTGACCTTTCATGTTTATTCAGGTTTTCTTCTAATATTCTATTAAAACTATTTAAGATACGGTATGTAATGAAAATGCATAGATCTATGAGGGGCAGATGCCTTTACAGCATTAGAAGTAATAGAGTCCATCCCTGAGTGTGGTCCTCTTAGTGTTTTAAAATTCCAGACATAAACTCCTGTGCTGTAAAACCTGATCTAAAAATAAGTCAAACTTAGAATAAGTGTATTTGTCCTTAATTTGAGCAGGTAAATTAGATGATCCGCTAATGGGATGACCATTTTACCTTTATAACAAGATCATTGAGGATCTTTTTTGGGGGGGGGGTTAAACAAAAATACACTTATTTGAAGTAAAGTTGAGCTACTTGTTTTTCCTATTTTCCAGCGTAACAAGTGATTTAGATGAAGTCGGTTTTTCCGCCTCTTTGTGTGTCTTTATGAGAAGATAAATTTTACTGTGAATGTTTTAATTGGTAGACTACCTCCCTATTATAGAAGAAGCTGCTCTAAAGTCTGTTTGTGCCGCTATCTGTTGTTGCTCAATATTTTTTTCTAAGAAGGTTGACTTAAGTCTGGTGAAATGGAAGACGTGTAATAGTGATGCTTTTAAGAGTTATGTTAGGAAATCCTATTCTGGATATATGGTTGTATAAACAGATGCATCTAAAATGGTGGATAGTTTGAATTTCTTTTGTCAGAATAGGTATTGCATGAATTACAAGAGTAAGTGATAATTTCACAGTTTTAAACTAGATGGAGAAGATTGATTTACTAAATTCGGATTTTGGTTTTGCACTATATAGCATTCAAAACAAGAAATCATATTCAAGA